ATTTGAGTTGATAATATCAACTCTTGAGGAATTCCAAATTGAAAAAAAAATATTATCTATAACCCATGATAATGCTGCAAATGTTATAGTAGCTGCCGATTTGTTGGTAGATTATTTCATAAATAATGGTAACGCCAATGAAAATAATAATAGATGCTTAGCACACGTAATTAATATTATCGTTCAAGCGGGCTTAGACAGCTTATCTACTCATCTTGCCAAAATACATATTTTAATTAGCAAAATGCATAAAAGCCCAAAGTTTATGCAAGAGTATATCAATTTAAGTGGAGGTTGTAGGATACCACTAGATATAGCCACTAGATGGAACAGTATGTATTTAATGTGATAACTACTGTTAATAAAGTAATATTTTATTATTTGATATTTTTTATAATCATATTTTAATAGAATATAGATGCCATCATTAATATAAGTAGGCGATATTTACCCAATAAAGATAATTTGAACCAGGAGGAGGCTAAGTTATTGATTGAGCTAGAGTCATTTTTATATCCATTCTATAAAATCACGTGTGAAATAAGTTCGGCGTCATCATCAACAATTGGGATGTCAGCCTTATATTTAGATAATATAGCGAATTCTTTATCGCTTAATGCCCAATCACATAAAAATATAATTATAAAAAGTGCTGCTAATATAATGAAAGAAAAATGTAATATTTATATCGAATATTTCACCACATTTTCAAATTATGCATCATCATTTCTTGATCCAAGAATTAAGAAAACATTTTTACCAAATTTCATAAATAACCTTGGGTTTTATGAAAAATTCAAAAAAGTATTTGATGATTATGGTACATCGAAATCAATATATGATTTCGAGGAGGAGGATAATAATGAATCCAATCTAATGTCTGTCAATATTCTGAATGAGTTAAGAAGGTAAATATAAATACTTAATTATATAAAATACTCATAAAAACTTCTAACAAACATTTTTGAAGCTATATTGGAGTGACTAAATTTAAATATTATGCTTACATTAAACAAAAATTATGATAGTTATTTGAGTTAATATAAATATTTATTAAACATTTAAAAATAGAGACTTAAGAACTTATAAAATTAATAAAGCATATAGTTGCAAAATAGGCATTTTTAAAATATGTTTGTTACAAGGTTTTACAATGGATTTGATTATATAATAAATAGTTAATTTAATTTAAATATTTTATATTAAGGAAATCATACATTATGCCAAATTTAGACGGAGAAGAAATCGAAGAATATTTAACAGATCCGGTTGCTCAAACCTCTGTTGATATTATAGATTGGTGGTCTCGAAACGCTAATCGTTTTCCAAAGCTGTCGACAATGGCCAAGGATTACTTATGCGAACAAACTACGTCCGTAGCAAGCGAACGTATTTTTTCTCGAGCCGGCGCAACCATTACTAAGAAGAGGAATAGGATGTCAGCCTTAACGTTAAAACAATGCCTATGTATAAATTCATGGGATGTTAATGTTTTAAATTTGCGTGACGAATTTTTTGTATAATTTGTTATTTTTCAATTATTTGTTATTTGATTTCATATAATTTTTATTTTTTATTTATGAAAATAATAAAGATATGAAAATGTGCCTTATTTATTTTGCATTTGTAAATTTTTACTTATAAAATATAAGAGCCTACTTGCGATAAATGAATAATAAATATATCATTTTTAAAAAAATAATAGTTAATATTTCTAAAAAGAAAAGGGGGGGGGGTTTATAGATAAAAAATTTTTAATTCCTAATTAGTAGTATCTCTGAAGATCTAAATGTTTTCCAAATTTTTTCTATGATATTCATTCTTAAGTATGAATAATTGGATTTTGCATAAGTCATCCACACAATTACCAAAGAAAAAAAATCAATTAAAATTTATAATGATGCAATAGTGGTAGAAAGTATTTAGGGGGTTTAGCAAGGCCCGCTAACAATCGCTTTAACAATCGTGATATGTAAACAAAATATTTGTAAAACTCAGAAATTATGAAAAATAATTTAAAATTTGTCAAGAATTATATCCATGATCTTAAATCAAATAATAATTAAAATCTTGTGTTTCAAATCAAATTTGATATAAAAAATTTATAGTAGTTACATATTACTTAATATTTTTATAAGATTAGAAAAAATATATCTGAATGTCTTAAATTTAAAAATGAGTTCCTTGCTCAATTTTCCCTGTATTTTCCTATTATCTAGCAATCCTTTAAAAAGTTTCAAAGGATATACCACTCATATCTAATACCAAATATTATAAACTAAGTTCAAGTTAAAAAAAAAAGAATGAAATATAATAGCAGTATCAATATTAGAGATTTAGAAATATTTTTCTAATTATAAAAACTTTTTACTAGTCTGAAAATAAGTATAATTTATTTTATATTTCTAGATTTTTAAGGGTGGAGTCAAAAAGTAATGAAAGAAAAAATTTCTTACTGAATCCAAATATTTTATAACATCTTTCCAATATCAAAATTTTTTTAAATAGGCTTAAAACAATTTTAAATAAAATTTTCCTCATTGGAATAAAATATAATTGCAGTGACACCTTATTACTAGATTCAATGGTTTTAGAAAATCTATTAAATATCCAAAACTTTTTACAAGACTTTAAACATAAATAAAATGTTTTTTTAATTTTTACATTTCAAGCGTGGTGATAAAAAAAATAAAATTTTTGAACTTTATAATATTAAAAACCACTAAGATTAAAAGAAAGTTTAAAAAAACTTAAAGATGACGATTATGACAATTGTCACTTTTCTAAGGTACATATTCACTGAAAATTTAATTTAACATGTTTACAATATATATTTTTACCTATTTGCTTCAAAAAAATTCGACAAAACTTAAAAATGACGATTATGACAATTGTCACTTTTCTAAGATACACATTCACTGAAAATTTAATATAACATGTTAATATATATATTTTTACCTATTTGCTTCAAAGAAATTCGAAAAAACTTAAAAATGACGATTATGACAATTGTCACTTTTCTAAGGTACATATTCATTGAAAATTTAATATAACATGTTAATATATATATTTTTACCTATTTGCTTCAAAGAAATTCGAAAAAACTTAAAAATGACGATTATGACAATTGTCACTTTTCTAAGGTTCACTGAAAATTAAATTTAACATGTTAATATATATATTTTTACCTATTTGCTTCAAAGAAATTCGAAAAAACTTAAAAATGACGATTATGACAATTGTCACTTTTCTAAGGTACATATTCACTGAAAATTTAATTTAACATGTTTATAATATATATTTTTACATATTTGCTTCAAAAAAATTCGTAAAAACTTAAAAATGACGATTATGACAATTGTCACTTTTCTAAGGTACATATTCACTGAAAATTTAATATAACATGTTAATATATATATTTTTACCTATTTGCTTATGACAATTGTCACTTTTCTAAGGTACATATTCACTAAAAATTTAATTTAACATGTTCACAAAATATATTTTTACCTATTTGCTTCAAAAAAATTCGAAAAAACCTAAAGATGACGATTATGACAAATTTTAACGCAAGCCCACCCAGCAAGCCGACCCTGCAAGCCGACGAAACAAGCCGACCCAGCAAGCCGACCCAACAAGCCGACCCAGCAAGCTGACCCAGCAAGCCGACCCTGCAAGCCGACGAAACAAGCCGACCCAACAAGCCGACCCAACAAGCCGACCCAGCAAGCCGACCCATCAAGCCGACCCAGCAAGCCGACCCAGCAAGCCGACCCAGCAAGCCGACCCAGCAAGCCGACCCAGCAAGCCGACCCAGCAAGCCGACCCAACAAGCCGACCCAACAAGCCGACCCATCAAGCCGACCCAGCAAGCCGACCCAGCAAGCCGACCCACCAAGCCGACCCAACAAGCCGACCCAACAATCCGACCCAGCAAGCCGACTCATCGGGTCGGCCCAATGGGTCGGCTCATGTGGCCCATTGGGTCGGGTCGGGTCTGATCTATGGCTAAATGGGTTGACTCGGGTTTAAGGTCGTTTTTTTCGGCTCAAACCTTGCTGGGTTTTCGGCCAAGTCGACCCGACCCAGCAATTTAACAACACTAATCATTATAATATATGAAGATCTTTGAAGATCGTTGATCTAAAATATTTTTAATTTAAAAAATTAAATTCTTAAAGGGATCTCATCTTGATCCTGGATAGTTCTGATCCCTTTAAAAATTAAGACATATTTATAGCTTGGACTTTATGTAATTCTTTATTGCAATCAAATAAACCATCTATAAAAATAATATTAATCATCTATATCCATCCAATAACAACATTATAATAATACAATCATAAACATCCTTATCCCATTCCATAATTCCCAGTAATCACTCTCAAACTTTTTTCCACTCCCAAAACCATATGATATGGATTGATTATTCTTGTCTGTCCATCCTAGTGTTCGCTAGCTAATCACTACAGTTATATAATAAAAAAACGTATATTTATATGCAAATAAAAAAAATATAGAAAATAAATATAAATAACTAAAGCAGTTGACTTAAGCTATATAAAACGCCAAAATATAAAATCTTTAAAAAAGATGAACGAATAATAAAAATTATAATAATATAAAATATCTATAAGTTAATATTGTAAAAGTAGATAATAATGCAAATATAAAATTTTAAATTTCATTATCTAACGATGTTAGCCGTTTTCCGCTTCCATTATCTAGGCGTGAGAATTTCAGCTGTAACTCATGAATGGCCCAACATGGTTGCTATAATGTTATTTCTGCCGAATCCATTTTAAAAAATTTCTATAACAATCAACCCCTTCACTTAGTCAGTTAAAAGGTCTAAAGGTTCCAACATCTTTTTGAGACTGCAATTACATGCTTACGTTACTGAGGTTAAGGAAATAAACTTAGGAATGCCTTCTTTTTTAAAACTTATTTATCGACATGGTAACATAAAGCACTATCAAAATCATCTACTTAATTTAGGTATGATCAATCCAATATGCATTTCGAAAAGCGGGATTATTAAAAAGCTCGATGAAGATGTTATCAATAAAATAGCTGCAGGAGAAGTTATACAAAGGCCCTATAATGCATTAAAGGAGTTAATTGAAAACAGTATTGATGCCAAATCTATGGCAATCCAGATATCAATAAAAGACGGAGGAATGAAATGTATACATATTCAAGATAATGGCACAGGAATTCACGTAATTATTTATAATTTTATTTCTTAATACTATGTAAAATAAATATGATAAAAAACTAGATTGTGTCATTTTTATTTATAATTATATACCAATAATTCAAAATTTTTGCTTGTTATATTTATAATATTTATTTAAAATAAATTTTTATATTAATAAATTGTTGCCACTTTTTTTTAAAACTTATTCTAATATATTCTTTTACTTTTTATTATAATGTTTGTTGATTATTAAAGTTTTGATCACATTATATTAAGATAAATAAAAATTATTTAGATATTTTATACTCCCATTAAAATTATACAAAATAGTTAAATTATTTGTAATTTTTAAATACATATGACAGAAAGATGACTTAGGAATAATTTGTGAACGATTCACAACCAGTAAAATATGTAAATACGATGATTTAAATTCTTTACAAACTTATGGGTTTCGAGGAGAAGCTTTAGCTAGCATAAGTCATGTTTCTCATTTATATATAATCACAAAAATGGCCAATAGTGCATGCGCTTATAAGTATGACTTATATTTAATATTTAAATATATATTATCTATACCCTCATAATTTTAATAAAGCTATTTGGGTCATTCCATGAAAAATAAAAAAACAATATTTTTGTACAATCTTCTCTAAAATGAACAAAACTTAGCATATGCCTATATATTACATAATTTTAAATTTTAGAGTGCTAGCTCAGCCATAGATAGATAATGCCTTGGTTATAGTCACTTTGACTATGCATATTAAATAAAACTAGTTATAAATTATAATCATATGACTAATTAATAGCAATAGTCTATTTTAAATGGGTCTGGCTAATTTTTTAAAATCAGTGCACTGTTTTCCTTAGTTATCTTTTATTAATTTTAAATAAAGTATATAAAAAATTATTTTCATAAATTAATGAAATTATGAAACATGACCAAAATCTTCCATTAAAATTTTATAAAAGTTTTGTAAATTAAAATATTAAAATAGATTGATATTAATCAATTCTTATTGTATCCATATTTAATATTGGAATTTCAAGTTGAGCAACTTATAATCTATATGGACTTAATTTTCTAATAAATGTAAGAATTTTTAAAGTAAGTTAAGCAACTTATAATCTATATGGACTTAATTTTCTAATAAATGTAAGAATTTTTAAAGTAAGTTAAGCAACTTATAAATTTTTACAACCTTGATTTTCTTGTAAATAAATATAAGAATTTATATTGAAAATAGCTAATTAAAATTTGAAAAACCTGATTTAATAACTGTTTTTAAGGATTCATATTTAAAAAAAAATAGCCTTCAGTTACATAATAGCAAATTTTACATAGAAAGATCATATTATTATTTTTCAAACTAAAAAAATATATAATTTATTATTATATTTGAGTTATATTATAAAATTGTAATAAAATCAATATAAATAATAAAAATATTGATAATTTTCATTTACAAATTTTCACAATATTTAAGTTTAAAATTTCTTCTACCATCTGTTATATTGTTCATTTGATTTAAATATAATGCATATAGTGTTGTTAAACAGCTTCATTTGAGGCGATTTTTAAAAATGGCTAACTCAATATTTTATCCAGGTGAATATTACGCAAGTCTTTGCTCATAAAACATCTATTAGCAAAATCTCGAAGCTTAGGCAATATTTTTCTGGCTAAAATATTGAGTTAGCCATTTTTAAAAATTGACGCAAAAGGTGCCATTTAAAACAGGTTTCTATTATTAAGTATATCACTTTTGTTTGAATTCAGTGTATCTATTTTAAAAAAAAAAAATTATGTTGTTTTATTAAATCGATCTCTCCTGATGATTAGATAAAGGAGGTTTTGAATAATTTTTGCTGCTTTCACTTATATTTATTTTGTATTTTACATTATTTTATGATCTATGCCTCAATATTGTCTTTTTGTTATTATGATTTTTTTTGTAATCGTTTACAATTATACTAATTATATATTTTTCATTTTATATAACTGTTTGATAACAGATAAATAATATATGGGTGATTATTTTCGGCCGACCATCTCAAAAATGAATGAAACTTGGCATGTTAGTTATTTATGTTGTAAATGTTAATAAAATCAAAAATTTAGAGTGCTAGCTCAACCAGATGCAAAGATATACGGCTTCAAAGTCGAAAATCGTGAATTTCATTAAATCTTGTTATTCTAAAAAATATTTAAGATAGAGTTACAAATTATATATCATTTTATAGCCCTTAAAATTTTACGTTGGAAAATATTTAAAAAAAATCAAAAAATTTCAAGTGTTTTCTTATTTCCGGTAAAAATAAAAAATTAACATTGTTAGGAATGGATTTTTTTTGGGTGTTAATATTCACTAAAAATGTTTATTACCTTTATATTAAACGATTTAATAAAAAATCTCGATAGCCATTTTTGTTTTTTTTAATTTTATTTGAATTTTTATTATTTTTATAAATAAAAAAAATTCAATATAAATGGCGTTATATTATATTTAATAAAAATATGAATAGTATTGTGATTATAATTAAAAATAACAATTGAGTATAACCATGAATGATGTCCTGGTGCGTTATGTAAGCAGTCAGACCATACAGATATTATTTTATTGACGCTATATTGTAAAATAAACATATTCTTACATTCAAACATTATAATTTTGCGCTTATTAATAGAAATTCCTAAGGCCATAATTTGTAGATATATCCTTTCATTGTTGTGGATTTACTATCCTTATTATTTGAAAATAACGATTTTATCAGCTTATTTTATTTTTTTTATTCCTATCATCGCTACCATTCAATCATCATATATTTCAAAATTAAACATTTTTTACAACCTAATGAATTTATGATAATTTGTGATTTCTTTGAAAATTATGCATTTATAATCCAAGACACTGTTCAAGGATTCCACTGGAATAATAATCAAACCACTATTCATCCTATGATAGCATATTATAATAATAAGGGCAATATAGAAAACCTTAATTATATGGTAATATCAGAGTCACTTCAACATAATGTTATGCAGTACATTTATACCAGACTAAAATGATAAAATTTTTGACTAATCAATTCAGCAAAAAGCCAAACAAAATATATTACTGCTCTGACGGATCAGCTGCACAATATAAATACAGAAATTTTTTTATAAATCTGTTATCATGAATCAGATTTTGGTGTAGCAGTTGAATGGTATTTTTCAGCTACATCCCATGGAAAAGGTCCATGTGACAGCCTTGGCGGAACATTAAAAAGATTAGCAGCACGTTTAAGCCTTCAGCACATCAGTTCTGGACACATTTTAACGCCAGTTGATTTATATCAATTTTCAAAACAAAACATGCCATCAGTAAATTTTACATGTATAACCAACGAACTATACAATTTACAAGAGATTAAACTACGAGAAAGATTCAATTTAGCTCGTCCCATTCTAGGAACTCGGGAAATACATGCTGTATTTCCTTAGAGTTTAAGTAAACTTAAATTAAAAATATATTCATATGCAGAGGACTTTTAAATTAACAATATCTCAAATGCCAATAATTTGCCTTTTGCAATTTGTCTTTTGCCGATATTAAAGGATTTGTAACATGTGTTTATGACGATTTTTAATTGTTAGCCACAGTACTAAAAAAGAATGAAATTACTGAGGAGATATATATTTCCTTTTTACATCCCCGTGGACCATAATCATCCTTCTTTTACCCCACAATTGCTGTAAAGATATGGTTGGTTACCCATTAATCAAATAATAACAGTAGTAGATCCTATTATGGTGACAGGACGTACCTACAAATTATCGTCTCAAGAAATTCTACTAATAAGCACAAAATGGGATAAGATTAAAACAAGAGGTATTTATTTTTATATTGTTTGTTTGTTCAAAATTTTAAAATATGTTTATTTTACAATATAGCGTCAATAAAATAATATCTGTATGGGCTGCCTGCTTACATATCGACCCAGGACATGATTCTTGGTTATACTCAATTGATTTTTTAATTTTAATCACATTACTATTCATATTTATATTAAATATTATATATTATAAAAAAATTTAATATAACGCCATCTATATTGCATTTTTTTATTTATAAAAATCAAATAAAATTAAATAAAACAAAAATGGCTATCGAGATGGCGTATGTCTTTGGATCTGGTTGAGCTAGCACGCTAAAATTTTGATTTTATTAACATTTACAACATAAATAACTAACATGCCAAGTTTCAATCATTTTTGAGATGGTCAACTGAATCGCTGGTCGATTTGTCATGGAATTAATATATACCCTTTCAAATTTCTATACATTCAGTTTCAATAATTTTTAGCTTTTTTTTCTTAGAAGGTTATTTTAAAATTACTTTTTTCATTTTCATTTTTTTTATTATCATTATCATTTTCATTTTTTTAATTTTAATTTTTTTTTATTTTCATTATTATTATCTTTCTAGCTATTATTCAATAACAAATATCAAATAATAGAAATATAGTATACAGATTTTATACTATTATCAGGAATCATTATAAATATTTGAGCCATTTAAACATTTACATCAGGTAAACAATAGAATCAAATGATGCAGCCTATTGAAACATATAAATCTTATAATTAAATAATACTGTTCCTAGATGGCTTCAGATTCCTGAATGTTTTACTGTGGGAATTCAAAACTTGCCTTAGAATGTTTGATAATATCTTTTACATTTTCTTTTAACCAATTATATTGTTCAACAAATTGAAGATCCTTGCTTTTTTTAATGAGAGCACAGCATATATTTTGTTGAATTTGGTTTTTACAGCTGCAGGTTTCTTCTTCACCTGATCATAATTTAGTTTAAACCTTTCCAATTTACTCCCATATAATCTTACTTGTTGAATCTCTGTATTTTAAATTATTCCAAAGATTTCTATGCACTCTTATATTCTTCATAAATGAATATTATTAAACTAAAACTAATATTATTATAATATAAATGGCTATAATTTTTTTGATCATTAAATTTAATTAAATGGGCAGGAATTAAGAGTTGTTTTAAAATAGAAAAGTCATTAAGTAATTTATTAAAAAAAATTCATAGATGAATCTTTTTATCCATCCAAGCCTTAGAATTTTTAATTTCTACCAAATTGTTAATATAACTGCCCATTTCTTATTTTGAAAAATATAAAAAAATGATTTAGACTATTTTATTTTTGCATTAAAATTAGCTTTTTTTTCATTAAAGTTGAAAAATATATTTAATTATATTTTTGACATTTAGGTCTTAATTTGATCTTTTCCATTTTCTTTTGGTTTACTTTTTATAACAGTCATTAGGGATATGGCTCACTGATTTAAAAAAATTTAAATAAATTATTAGCTATGATTTAAAATTGTATAAGAAGTTGTATTCATTTTATGACTATGACTAACAGCTCTAGTTATTTTTCAGCTAAACTTAGTGTTTCCTCACCTATAGCCAGAAGCATAGATATACATCAGTAAAAAATCTCATAAATAATTTTTTTTTTC